ATGACTCATGCTCTCGTGTTTGCCTAATCCTCACGTCTACATCACAATCTCCCGAGACTTCATCCATTGAGGTTCAATCATATGTGAAAGGGCAGCACAGATACATTTATATCATAACTTAGCTTTGCAATATCGAGAAAACCTAAAATTTTCATATTCATATTCACGAAAAGAAAGTTCTTCAGTTGTTTATTGGAGAGCCTTGCGTATAATGTGAAAACTAAAAAGTTTATATAAGTACTTTTTGTTATATTAGTACCTTTTAAGTTTATTTAGAATTGATGACATACAAAAACCATAGAAATATGATAGTTATATACTAGCGAACTACTAGCTTCGCATGGTTGATTTCTGGATCTCGACAACAACGCCACCTACCGGGTCCAATTGTGACTCTAAACCATTATCTAATTAAATTAATTACACATACAAAATTTCATCAAAATCGGTCCATCCGTTTAGGAGGAGTTCAGTCACATACACACGGACAGAAGGATTATGTAATATATATATATAGCATGTATTATACGTATAAACAATTCTATTGAATCTGTCTATTGATGAAAATCGTATCAAAATTTGTAACGCATTTCAAAAGATCTAAGCGTACAGAGGCGGGAAGCGACTTTGTTTTATATACTATGTAGAGAAATAACTTAGATTGCTACCTGATAGAATTGAAAGCAGAGTTTGATATATTCATTCGTTATATTCATTATTTCATAGAATTCAGGCATGTGGCTCTCATATCAATATTTTTTTAAAAATTGAAATTTATTTGCATTTCTAGAGATAGATAGTATAAAACATTCTAATACTATAATAACTTACACACGAATACTACATATCTAGGTAAACTAATTTTACGGAATTATGCCTTTTTTTTAAATATGAGATCCATTACTCAGGTAAGCGAATGATGTTAGCCATAGATAGCTTACCCTTGATTAAAAATCAAAATGCAAATTTAAAAGTATTATCACCGCTGAGAACTGAGATTAAATGCCTCGTTAATAGTAAAAAGGGTCTCAGGTTCACATCACTCACCATACAAAACAGGGGCGTTGTAATCCTTCCCCGTTCGAATCGAACCATTCATGCTGCAGACATCATACCCAGTGCCAACTCCTTCCACTCCCCAGTACCTTCAACTTGACCTTCCACTTGACCGCATCCAGCGCAGAGTGGTTCGAGTCGTCGACGACCGAGTCCTTTCCGATCGGCTCGATTTTTTTTTGCATTTTCTTTCGTATTTACCACGGGGAGTGCTCTGAGCAATTGTTCGAATTAATCCCAGACGCCAAATTTCACGAACGCACATCGCGGCAGAACTCGCGATACCATCCACACCATCTGGATGATTGGCGATCCACCACTGTGCGATTTAGAAGATGTTTTCTTCCTCGCACAACTTCCTTGAGGAATCGGTTACCACCAGCGATTTTTCCGGACCGATACGACTTAGGGACCTTCAAGAAAAGAGCCTACTCCTTTTTAAAAGGCCGGCAACGCATCTGCAATTCCCCTGGTTCCCCTGGTGTTGCACTTGTTTATGGGTGGCGGTAGTCACTTACCATCAGGTGAGCCGCATGCTCGTTTGCCCCCTCTCCTATAAAAAAATCATACGCTACAGCTTGACTCTACCACTTGCAATTATGGTAGTTATATGAAAGAAATTCAGAATATAAAATAAATACAAAACCGTGTTCGTCCTATGTAGATCAACCCAAAAATGCCTGTGTTAACTATGTCAAACTTCTCATTAAAATAGCAGCAAATGGTAACTACGTACTCAAAATTTTCCAGTAATTGATCCAAAGAATGTTTAAAACTTAACAAACTGAACATTATATTTAATGAAGTAATTATCAATTTACGAAATATTTTTATAAGAAATAATAATCAATCCCTAATGTAAATTAATTTTGAATAAATTATTTTGAACAATTTTTACGAAATTCTAATAAAATGCTCTGTATATTTGAGTGAATACATTCAAACTTTGCCTTTGACTTTGATAAGCATCGACTTGATACAGAGTATCAGAAAGGAGCGACTGCAGCACAGTTGCATTCACTTCTAACGTACAAAGGTACAAAGCTACTAGATATTGCAAAGCGAAACTATTAATCTGACAAATATGTTTCACAGAAATTGTTGCAAATTTGAATACTTGGAACTTTAAAGTTCTAATGAGCTTTTATATGTTTATTGTTTAATGGCTTTAAACAAATTATGAATTTCTGTTCTAAGCATGCGGCAGTATGTCAGTAAAGTTGGAAACAGAAAAGAGCAACTCAATGTGTTTATATTCACATTAACAATTTCAGTTTGGTTCTATCCCCACCTAGATACTTGTCATTTTGCATGCCTAATAAATGTCAGTAATGACAGTCAATCTCAAAGCAGACTAGACTAGATATAGTGTACGTCACACTGTCATAGTCCGATGAGACGGCAATCAGAGACGACCGCAGTGAAATCAGGACCAACGCATTTAGGTGCTTTTTGAGACACCGGGGTCGAATACTGCCAACTTCCTGACACCGGGCTGCTATTTTGAACTTTATGACAGAAAAAACCCAATAACTAAATTTGGCCTTCGACGCAATCGCGATTACGAGCACTAGATCAAGGAGGTATATTTTTTTATAGGATAGGGTTACAAACGAGCACATAGTCCACCCGATGGTAAGTGATTACTGTGACCCAGAGACATCTACATCTATCCTCAATAAAGACTCAAAATACAGATGCGTTGTCACCCGTGAGGACTAAGATGGAATGCTTCTTTGTCAGTAAAAAGGGTCTCCGGTTCTCTACACTCACCATACGAAACACAGCAGCGTTAAGCTGCTATTTTACGCTGGTTTTCTGTGAGAGCGTGGTTCTTCCCCGGTCGAGTTGACCGGGAATTTCATTGCTACAACATTTATTTCATTCGTGCTACAACAATACTACTAATATAACTGCAGCATGGCCCTACCACGTAAAAATAAAAAGTGTATCTAGTAAGACCCCCTCAAATACCTAGAATGCCAAATATATGATTAATATAGGTGTCTATTATAGTATTTTATTTGTTAAGGTACGAAAAGTGTAATTTTCATCGCCCTCTGATTTACTGCTTCACTGACTCAGCTCAATCAAGCACCTAGACCACTTCTATATGATTCAGAAACTTGGCATCAAGGTAGATCATTAGGTATATACAAAGGAAGATGCCTCATTGGCAGGATGTTCGTCATAGTTGCCCCGATTGTCGGGTGAGTTGGCAGCAATATCTTTTGTAAGCATTTAGAAAACATTAAGAATTTGCCGAATGTCAAACAAAGAACATGGTGAGCTGTGGGCTTTTCTACGACGAGCGGCACACACGACATGTGAAATCCACATTGTATTCAATGATATTTCCATAATTTGCGATTAAGTTTTATTTTAGTGATAATTATAATTATAGTGAAAACAAAATTATGCATTTCAGATATATTTACATTAATTTATATAAAAGTTTAACTTTGGGTGATTAATATTTAATATATTTTGTGTGATTTTTCGTAACTGGCAAGCGCAGTATTGGGCAACTCCCCACTAGATGGAGTGAAGACCTGATGAAACACGCAGACAGTGGCTGGATGTTCAGGACTCGGGTAACTCAGGACCGTAGTTTGTGGAAATCAATGAGAAGGGAGACCTATGTTCAGGAGTGGACTTGTGATAGGCTATCCATCTATTACAGCCTATAAAAGTCCTCAGCTGAACTTAGCCCTCATAGATTGCTTCATGAGGGGAGTTTGCCATAGTAATTGTGATTTGCTATACTGATAGTCAATGTTAGTGTGTGTGACATTTTGTAAGCCGAAAAATGATTTTATTTAAATCCAACTAGTATCTCAAAAAGTACGGTAAACATAATGCTAAAAATATAAAGTAGTAATGGGTAATTTCTATCGCATTGCAATTTTAGCTTTTCCTCTCTTATACATCAGCATATTTCACTGAACGAATAATTTGGTTTCATTCGTTATGGGAATATGCTGACGAGTGCTGAAAAACTTTGACAATTCACATATTCTAACTTTTATAATTACATAACCTTTAAAAGTGTCAAATAGATTATCTTCATTAAGGCTGCTTTTATACATGTTATAAATATTTCCGAGTCTAGTCATCATTTATTCTAAAGCATAAATAACTTAATTATTAGCTAAACTTGTAGTTTAATTAGCATATCTGTTTAAAATACAAGCTGTACCGTATTTTGTTCCTTAGCAAGTCTATGATGGTGAAACAAATTCTAAAATTAATTAATTCTTCAGCAGTTTTATTAAAAGAGTAAGGCAATTTTCTTCAATTAGAAAATATTCAAACAGCTCGGAATGCATTAAACAAAGAAGTTTAGTTAATATTCTGAGAAAGTCCTTCAGGGCACAAATAAATTAAAAAATATATATAATATTTATGCTTAGAACCACACTACAGCTATATTCTGCAACTCGAATACTTCGGCTTGACGTCAAAACGTCACAGATATATCAGCTAAAAATAGCTACCTCGTTTCTAATAAAGCGTGATTTTTAATAGAGCACACAGCAGGTACTCACATATTTACCTTTGCTCTTTAAAAAAAAATAGCATTTTATTAATATAGTCTTTCCTGTTTACAAATTCACTGATAATATAAACAGTAACCATAGCCGTTTACTTGGGTACTCAGTGAATGTTTAATACCCTGGATTTTGAAGTCAATTTACTAATAAATCTTGCAGCCTCCGATTAATGGCGGAATAACGATTACAAATACGTTTACAGCAGTTGCTTTAGTTGCGAACGTAAGCTATCGTATTGTTACTCGTAGTTATGAGAATATATTAAATGTATTTGATACAAACATATTTTTATAACTAAACAATTTTAATCACTAACCTGTAAAGATAATTATGACGATGATGGATAGTTGGCGAAATATGAAATTTTATTAAAAATAACATTTGTTCCAGATCGGCGAAGAAGATCTGGATCATTTGACGAAGCGGCCGAGGACAGCAGCGATAACGGAGGGAGCACGCCAAAGAAAAAGACTGTTATTGAAGAACAGTGGGAGAGGTCCGGCGGATTCGAACTCACCTCCGTAGAACAGGAAACCTACGAAAAATACTTCTATGGCACAGAACATTGGAACTATTTTACCAACGATGAAGATCTTGGCCCTGTCATATTGTCTATAAAACAAGAAACTTTGAACTCTCGCGATCAGTTCAGGTACATTTTAGCACTAAGTGAAATTATTTCCTTCCTTATAGATTGTTTATTACTAAAAAGAAGCTACCTGGAATCTCAACCTCGTTACTACTGGCAATCCACTTTCTCTTCTTATTCATCAATCCTTCAAAGTCCACAGCAAGACATAATCACCCCGCTTAAAAGATGGATTGACAATCGAAATTATCAGTTATTTGCCATTTTGTCGCTGCTTCCCGTCTCTGTTATTCTGCAATCTATCGAACGCTATGAAATCATTGTATCATTTACCACGGTCAGATTACTTAAATTACCCGCACACAGCAGTACCGCGCCACTAACATAAGTTTCTCGATATGTATGTTTAATGATTTTTTTCTTCTTCTTTTCAATTACACAGCCTTTAAATAATCCACTACTGATCTTGTACCTCTTGGTAAAGTTAATAACCACATTTAACAGGTGAATTGGCAATTGTAGTTTCAGGTATATTTCACTTTTGTCGTTGCAAGTGGTTGGTTGGTTATACTTCCATCTATCGGAGACCAGTAGATTTTTTGGCCTTTCCTATCGACTTCTACGATAATGGTGGCTTAATTTAAAAAAAAGTTTTTTTTCATCGTATCAGTAAGCCGCCATATATAAAATCATCAAAAATCATCAATAGGTAGTATTTTTATCGCTGACAAATAGTAAGACAATTTTTTTATAGGATAGGCTGACAAACGAGCACACAGTCCACCTGATGGTAATTGATTGCTGTGGCCCATAAACATCTACATCTATCCTCGTTTGCGAATCAAAATGCAGATGCGTTATCACCCGTGAGGAATAAGATGAAATGCCTCTTTTCCAGTAAAAAGGGTCTCCGGTTCTCTACACTCACTATACGAAACGCAGCAGCGTTAAGCTGCTATTTTACGCTGGTATTCTGTGAGAGCGTGGTCCTTCCCCGGTCGAGCCGACCCATTCGTGCTACAACTATATTACAAAATAACACATTAAAATGATATCTATTGTACGCTATTTTTATACAAGAAAGAGTGAAAGTTGCCGTGTGTATAGTGGGACCGTAAGAGAATCCACTACTTCATATCATCCCGTTAATAAGAATCGACATCGCGCATCTATGTGATAACACCTCAAAATAATAAGAAAAAACTGCACATAATAAGAAAAAGCGTGGCAACTATACTACAAATATCCCTCCTGTGAAGCATGGAAACCTATGTTCAGCCATAGACCTATGGGCTGTAACGATATGAAGGGTGCCAAACGAGCACAGAATCCACCTTATGGTAATTTAATGATAGACCATAGGCAACTGCATCTATGCTAGTTTAAGAAACCCCTGTGGACTAAAAAGTAATGCCACATTACTTGAAAAGAGGGTCTCCTGTTCTTGTCACTGACCATACCAAATAACATCTGCTGCTATTTTACGCTACTATACTGTGAAAGCGTTGTCTTTCCCCGTTCAGCAAACTCATTCGCCAAAACAAGCAACCATATGTTGCTACGTGGTTCTAATACAGAGAGTTTAATATTCTTATGTCCATACGAAATTCAATACTTATAGCTAATTTAAAATTCATCAATTCAAGTATAACTAGTAGAAGGTAAAGCTTCTTGATATTTGTATCAATATACAGAATGTAAAGAATTTCATCGCATTATACGAAATCAACGTGAAAGGAATTCAATTAAACAACGATACTCGAATACAGCTGCCACGAACTTCGTTATTGAAATAACTATATTAATGTCGCTCACACTTAAAATTTCAGCTATTCTAGCTATCTAATATTATATTCTCTCCTGGTTATATTTTGGATATTCGATACAATTTTCATGCTTGGCAGGTGGGTTAATGGAGACAGGAGCAAATATGTAATTAAAGGACAATCTCTTTGTATACATTACATCGCATTTGTAAGGCAGATGTCACTATTACCTATATTAAGTTCGACACTTTTATTGAATTTCGGTAGTATACAAAAGTTGTAACCTTGAGGTGAAATTAGTTTAAAAGAACATTAAATGTCGGCCTAACAAATTAAATAAAAAGTAAGCGTATTCTCTCTTCAAGAGAAAATGATTAATGTAATTTTATGTTCATGCTATGGTTTTTACTTAACTCCTTTGTGAAAAAATTGTCAATAAATGTTTGTGAAAATAAAGCACAAACTTGGGTGACTTGCTTTCCTCGTGCACCCATAAACTTTGAAAATTCAATTAGCATAATGTAATGTGGTCATAAAGTTTACTTCAGGGTCTTCACTCAATATCACTTTAAAAGGCGATGTTCATTTCCTGTATTTAAGAAATGTACTATTAGGAATTCAGTTGTTAATTAAAAAATTAAAGTAGTTTTCACCACATTGGAATTAATACTTTGATAATTTTTACTTAACTTTTTAACTTTAACTTTTTTATGTTCTCTTCTTATACTTTAATTTCATTTCTTTTATATCTTTTAAAATTCTATGATTAACACAACTCAAACCCGTTCCCCATCCAACCCAAAAACTGAAATTGTATAAAGAACAAGCTGATATGAAACTTTAGGTGATATATGGGGTCTGTAGATATAAAAAAATAATTAATATGTCTGGTGTTCTACGTTAATCGAACGGTGTTTACAAATTGAGCGATATAATAAGTATATATAGCAGAATATATCATTTATTACATCGTTGAGTTAATCGAAGCAAACCGACTAGGTTCTATTAAAGTTTGTGACAAATATTTGCAATCTTCATATCCACTCTCGCAACATTGCAAGTTGCCTCAGTCCATGGGGAGTTTGAACTTAAGTCGACAACTAGCGTGCACATAAACTACTACCAATAAGAACTTACCCTCATACTAATTTATCACATAGAAAGCCCGTAGCCTCCTGAGTGTCGTTATTCATACATACGTTTAATATTTATATTATCACTGCTATTACATTATATGTATAGTAAACAATACGTACTATTTTAATGAATTCCATACTCCTTTACACCTATATAGATATTATATACGTCACACTATTGAGCACTTGACCCTTCTCATTTCTAAAAGAGTTGTAGGAACATTGAAGATACGAAACTGCCGAAATTAGGGTCGGAGGATGTCAACTTTCTTATATGTTTTCTTTCAACGCTAGTCACGTGGTAAATGTTAAAATTTAGGTCCATTTCCCCGGAACAACAGGTTTTGAAAATGAAAGTTAGTTATCGTTAGTAAAGTTAGTAAACCCGGTAAGCTACAACCCTTGCTACGCTCCTGCTACGCTCCTGCTACGCCCCTGCTTTGGTCAGAAACACCTGATGGCACTAAAAAGATGGCAGTATAAATTTCCTTTGTCACACACATCTTTTTTTTATAGGATAAGGGTGACAAACGAGCACACAGTCCACCTGATGGTAAGTGGTTGCTGCGGCCCATAGACATCTACATCTATCTTCTATTACAAATCAAAATGTAGATGCGTTGTCACCCGTGAGGACTAAGATGGAATGCCTCATTTCCAGTAAAAAGGGCCTCCGGTCACCTGCACTCACCAAGCGAAACTCAGAGGTGAACCTCTACTTCACGCTGGTTTTTTGTGAGGTCGTGGTACCACCCCGGTTCGAGCCGGCCCATCCGTGCGACAGCAAAAGCTGCCGCGTGGCTCTACCACTGTTACTGTACTGTACTGTGTAATTCATACAGACCAGTAGAATACATCTCATGTATTCTACTGGTCTGTATGAATTACACTTTCTAAACATAGCAGATTCAAACCTAATGTTGTCATTGAATCCTTAATGGCTGTTTTAATATACATAATTCTTAACTTTAGATAAATGCCGCCACTCATTAAAATACCATAAGAAAGATTATCAGAACATTTGACACAACAAAATGAGCCCTTTGAAAAAAACTATTTTGGCGATCCTGAATTTACTATAAATTTCAGGAAAATACACGTTTCTGGTAATAAAATTTAAACAAATCACAATGATAGACCTTACATACCCGTTATTATAACTGGATAATTAACCTAGGAATTTAATCGTATGCCGCTGGAAAATTCTTCAAATAATAGCCTAACCGTGAAGTTTATACTCTAATGCACATTATAGTTTGATATTAGAAATAGTTGTGGAAGAGATCATAAGTGCTTATTCATAGTACAAGTAAGTGAAATAAATAAATAAATAATTGATGATATTTCCCACCTCTCAAGAGAACTGCGTGATTAATGTTGAATATGTTAGAAAACTGTGAATGTGGGCAACTGTGATAATAATAAGTGTGGAATACGTGGAAGAAATATATTATGGTTGTAGACCAAATGGTACGGTTAATTTTTTACGTGGTAGACCCATGCTGCTGTATATATTAGTAGTATATAGTTGTATCACGAATGGGTCGGCTCGACCGGGGCAAGGGTCACGCTCTCACAGAATACCAGCGTAAACTAGCAGCTTTATGCAGCTGTGTTTTGTATGGCTAGTTTACAGATCCGGAGAACCTTTTGACTGGCAACGAGGCATTCTATGTTAGTCCTTAGAGGTGGTAACGTATCTGCATTTTAATTCTTATTCGAGGACAGTTGTAGATATCTATGGATCACAGCATGCAATTACCATCAGGTGGACTGTGTGTTCGTTTGTCACCTTTATTCTATAAAAAAAAATACATAATATTTATATTTACATCTTTTAGCTCCCTCCCCAATTAATAAGGGTCCTGGGTATTAATGTCATAATTAAGCTTTAAAAAATTGAGATGTAATTAACGAAAAGAAAGTAACGTTAAACTTTATCGCAACTTAATATTTTTAAAAATATTGTCGACTTATTAGAAAACTTCGAGATTCATTAACCTTAAATTTATAATACATGTTATTTTTCAGTTAATATATCTTATCTTTCTCAATATAAAAATATGTTTACCTAGTTTGAAGAGCACCTCCCGCCCTCCCTCAATCGCCCCGTCACCACCAATCCCAGCAGAAACACAAAAAGAAATAGAAACTTTTTTAT